TGCACGAACGAACTGACACAAGTATAGAACAAGTGTTTGATTCCGCTGCCGCCCTCTCTTCTACTGCAAACCACCGGGACCATGAATACGGCCCTCAGATCCACGAGGCCCAGCCTCGTGCTACGAGCGCTCGCGCAATGCTTACTCTCGCGCCTCACGACAACTCGCGCACACGTGCGCATGCATTCCGCTCCTGAGAGGGGATCGTTCTTTGTTATTCGCGATCACGCCCGTGACCGGCCCCGGCTCCCCCCTTCCACTCCACGTCACGATTCGCGACAGCGCCGCCTGGGAATGAGCCATTGTCAAGCAGTCCCAGACGGCGCCAGCGCAAATCGTGGCGTGACCGACCCCCTCCCCCCTCCACCACCATCCCGCAGACTTTTGAGCCCGCGGCCGCAAGAGAGACAAACGGCGGTCGAGAATGCGCTGGGGAATCCCCCGCGAACACGCCCGCGGCCAGGAGATAAAAACGGTCTCTAGCTAGGCCCCTCACCCCGAGAAGCCTTGGAGAAACTCTCAAGACGCCCCCAAGAGGCTGTAAGCGGCCTCAACGAACTCCCCAGGTGCCCCATTGAGCCCTCCAAAACGCCCCCGACGGGCATCCGACAGAATACCCTACACGATCGTGGCAGGCTCTCACTCCTTCTGGGGTTCGCCGGAATGGCGCAAGCCACGTGAATCAAAAAACGGGTCCAGGTAGGCCCCTCGCGCCTACTGCCTGCTCATGCCTTTCCAACGTCGCTCTTATATGTTGTGTGCTCCGCCTGGCAGGGATTACCTACCAGCAATGTGCTTCGACAGTGAGCCTGGGGCGATGTGAGCGGTGCAGAGCTAAAGCGGCCACGTGTACGCATGAAGTCAACACCCGCACAAACCCCACCAACCCAACCCCACTGCCAACCCCTGCGCCACTTGAACCAAAAACGGGCCCAGGCAGGCCCCTCGCCCCCACCACGCTGCTCGCATGCGCGTGTGCGCGAGACCTGCCGCGGAGCACGCTGGTGCCGCTGCCGCCGCGCCGCGCCGCTCCCCCCGCGGAGCCTTGGCGCTCGGCAGGGCGCTGGCCGCCTGGAAGCTCCCAGCCGGCCACGGAGCGTGGACTCCGTGAGAACCCTACTCCCATCATCATCATCATCATCATCATCATCATCATCATCATCATCATCATCATCATCATCATCATCATCATCATCATCATCATCATCATCATCATCATCATCATCATCATCATCATCATCATCATCATCATCATGGCCATCATCATCATCATCATCATCATCATCATCATCATCATCATCATCATCATCATGGCCATCATCAACATCATCAGCATCATCATGATCATCAGCATCATCATCATCAGCAGCATCACCAGCAGCATCATCAGCATCATCATGATCATCATCATGGCCATCATCATGATCATCATCATCGTCATAATCATCATGATTAGCATCATCATCATCATCATCATCATCAGCAGCAGCATGATAATCATCATCATCAGCAGCATCATCGTCATCAGAATGATCATCATCATCATCAGCATCAGCATTTTCATCATCACCATCATTGTTATCATCATCATCAGCAGCAGCATCATCAGCATCATCATCATCACAACCATCATCATAAGCATCATCATCATCAGCATCAGCATTAGCATCAGCATCAGCATTAGCATCAGCATCAGCATCATCATCGTCATCAGCATCAGCATCACCGTCACCGTCATCACCATCAGCAGCATCGTCATCAGCATCATCATCATCAGCATTAGCATCATAATCACCATCAGCAGCATCATCATCGTCAGCAGCAGCATCATCAACCACATATCATCATCATCATCATCATCATCATCATCATCATCAGCATCAGCATCAGCATCATCATCATCATCATCATCATCATCATCATCATCATTGTAATAATAATAAGAATAATAACAATAATAATAATAATCATCATCATTATCATCACCATCATCATCATCATCATCATCATCATAATCGTCATCCTCATCATCAGCATCATCATCGGCAGCAGCATCATCGTCATCGTCATGAGCATCGTCATCATCATCATCATCAGCAGCATCATCATCATTATTGCCATCATCATCAGCAGCATCATCATCAGCAGCACCATCAGAATCATCAGAAGCATCATCATCATCAGCATCATCATCATCGTCGTCAGCATCAACATCAGCATCAGCAAAAGCATCATCATCGTCATCAATATCATCATCATCATCATCGTCATCGTCATCGTCATCATCATCAGCAGCATCGTCATCGGCATCATCATCAGCATCATCAGAATCATCATCATCATCATCATCAATATCACCACCATCATCATGATCATCATCATCAGCATCAGCATCATCATCAGCATCTAAATCATCATCATCAACATCACCATCATCATCGTCATCCGCATCATCATCAGCAGCAGCAGCAGCATGATAATCATCAGCAGCAGCAGCATCATCATCGACATCGGCATCATCATCATCGTCATCATCATCAGCAGCATCATCATAAGCATCATCATCATCAAAAGCATCATCATCATCATCATCAGCATCAGCATCATTATCAGCATCAGCATCATCATCGTCATCAGCATGCTCATCGTCATCGTCATCGTCATCATCAGCAGCAGCATCGTCATCGGCATCATCATCATCATCATCATCATCAGCACCATCATCATCAGCATCTTCATCATCAGCATCAGCATCAGCATCATCATCATCAGCATCCTCATCATCATCAGCATCATCATCAGCATCATCATCATGTTCATCAACAGGAGCATCCTGATAATCATCTGCATAAGCATCATCATCACCGTCGTAAGCATCGTCATCATCATCATCATCAGCATCCGCATCAGCGTCAACATCATCGTCATCATCATCATCAGCAGCATCACAATCATCAGCATCATCGTCATCAGCATAATCATCAGCAGAAGCATCATCATCACCATCAGCACCAGCATAATCAGCATCGTCCTTAGCATCATCATCAGCATCAGCATCAGCATCAGCATCATCATCATAATCATCATCATCGTCATCATCATCAGCATCATCAGAAGCATCATCATCAGCAGCATCATAAGCAGCGTCATCAGCATCATCATCATCAGCATCATCATCTTCAGCATCATCAGCAGCATCAGCATCAGCACCATTCTCATCATCAAAATCATCGTAGTCGTCGCCATCATCTTCATCATCAGCATCAGCATCAGCAGCATCATCATCAGCAGAACCATCATAATCATCAGAAACACCATCGCCATCGTCATCAGCACCGTCATCAGCATCATCAGCATCATCAGCATCATCATTAGCATCAGCATCGTCATCATCAACAGCATCAACAGCATCAGCATCATCATCATCATCATCATCAGCAGCAGCATCATCAGCATCATCATCATCAGCATCAGCATCAACATCATTACCCTCATTTACGCTATCGTCATCATCATCAGCATCCGCATCGCCATCAGCATCATCATCATGATCATCATCAGCAGCATCAGTACCATCATCATCATCGTCATCGTCATCAGGAACATCGTCGTCATCGTCATCAGTATCATCATCAGCAACATCAGCGTCAGCATCATCAGCAGCATCATCAGCCTCATCGTCATCATCATCATCATCATCAGCAGCAGCATCATCAATATCAGCATCATCAGCATCAGCATCATCAGCATCATCATCAGAGGCGTCATCAGCAACATCGTCATCAGCATTGTCGGCATCATCACCATCAACAGAAGCAGCATCTTCAGCATCATCGTCCATCATCATTATCATCAGCATCGCCGTCATCATCAACATCATCGTCATCATAATCATCAGTATCGTCATCATCATCAGCATCATCATGATCAGTATCAACATCAGCAGCATCAGCAGCATCAGCATCATCAGCAGCATCATCAGCATCATCGTCATCATCATCAGCAGCATCATCAACATCAGCATAAGCATCATCATCATCAGCATCATCATCAGTATCAGAAGCATCATCAGCGTCATCATCACCATCATCATCAACATCAGCAGCATCATCAACGACAGCATCATCCTCATCATCATTAACAGCATGATCAGCATCATCGTCGTCATCATCGTCGTCATCAGCACCAGCATCATCCGCATCATCATCAGCATCATCGTCGTCAGCATCAGCATCATCAGCATCGTAATCAGCATCATCATCAGCAGCATCATCAGCATCATCTTAATCGTCATCATCATCATCAGCATCATCATCAGCAGCATCAGCCTCATCGTTAACAGCATCATCATCAGCATCATCAAAATCATCATCCTCGTCGTCATCATCATCATCATCATCAGCAGCAACATAATGATCAACATCAGCATCAGCATCAGCATAAGCATCATAAGCATCATCAGCATCAGCAGCATCAGCAGCAGCAGCAACATCAGCAGCATCGTCATCGGCATCATTATCAGCAGCAGCAGCATTATCATCGTCATCACCATCATCAGCATCATCAGCATCGTCAGCATCATCATCGTCATCATCAACAGCATCAACAGCATCATCATCAGCAGCATCATAAGCATCATCAGGTTTAGCATCAGCACCAGCATCAACATCAATCATTCACATCATCATCGCCATCATCATCAGCATCATCATCAGCATGAGCATCACCATCACGATCGTCATCACCATCAGCAGTATCAGCTTCATCATCGGCATCATCATCAACAATATCATCATCAGCATCACTGGCAGCATCATGTTCATCATCATCAACATAATCATCAGAAGCTTCATCAGCATCATCGTCATCATCATATTCACCATCATCAGCAGCATGATCAGCATCATCGGCATCAGTATCATCATCAGTATGATCCTCAGCATCAGCATCATCAGCATCATCAGAGCATCATGATCATCATCAGCAGCATCATCGTCATCATCAGCATCAGCATCAGCATCATCATCAGCAGCATCATCATCAGCATCGAAAGCAATAATCATCAAAACCATCATCGTCATCGTCGTCGTCATCACCATCATCATCATTCTCATCATCATCAGCATCATCATCAGCGTCATCATCTTCGCCATGATCATCCTCAGCATCATCATCATCAGCACGGTCGTAAATCATCAGCATCAGCATCAACGTCATCAGCATCATCATCAAAAGAATTAGAAACATCGTCATCATCACAATCATCAGCATCATCCGCAGAATCATCAGCATGATCAGCATAATCATCAGCATCATCAGCATCATCATGAGCATCAGCCTCGTCATCATCATCATCATCATCAGCATCAGCATCAGCGTCATCATCAGCATCATCCGCAACATCCGCATCATCATCATTAGAATCAAGTGAACATCAGCATCATCAGCATCATCATCAGCAGCTGCATCATCAGCATCATCGTCATCAATTATCATCAGCATCAGCATCAGCATCATCATCAGCATCGTCATCATTATCCTCCTCAGCATCAGCATCATCATCATCAGCGACATCATCATCAGCATCATCATCAGAATTATCATCATCATCAGCATCATCGTCAGCATCATCATCAGCGTCATCATCATCATCATCATCATCATCATCATCAGTAGCATCATCATCATGGTCATCATCATCATCATCAGCAGCAGCAGCAGCAACAGCATCAGAAGCAACAACAGGAACCATCATCATCATCATCATCATCATCATTATCATCATCATGGTCATTGATATCAGTATCGTCATTCGTAGCAGCCTCATCATCATCAGCATCCTCATCATCATCATCGTCGTCGTTATCATTATCCTCATCATCATCATCATCCTCATCAAGACAGTCGTCGTCATCGTCACAGTCATCATGGTCGTCGCCATCATCATCATCATCATCATCAGCAGCATCATCTTCATCGTCGACGTCAATGTTATGGTTGTCGTCGCCATCGTCATCATCACCTGCACCACCCGTGTCGTTATCAGCATCATCGTGGCATCGCCATCGACATCACAATTATCATGATCATCATCATCATCATCATCATCATCATCATCATCATCATCATCATCAGCACTGTCATCTTCATCCTCATCGGCATCATCCTCGACGCCGTCGACGTCGTCGACGTCGTCTTCATCGTCATTGTCATCGTTATCGTCGTCGTCATCGTCATCCTCAGCGTCATCGTCATCACCATCATCATCATCATCATCATCATCATCATCATCATCCTCATCCTCGTCCTTCTCCTACTCATCATCGTCACCATCGTCATCATAATCAGCAGCATCACCATCATCGTCGTCATCGTCATCCTCATAGTCTCAATCTTCAACTTCATCTTCATCTAGTTCACCATCATCCTCATCGTCATCATCATCATCACCATAGTCGGCGTCCTCATGGTCATCCATATCGTCATCGTGGTCGTCATCATGAATGTCATCAGAATCACCATGATCATCAGCAGCATCAGGATAATGATCATCATCCTGATCAGCATGATCAGCATTATCCTTATCGTCGACGCCATTGGTGTGGTCGTCGTCGTCATCGCATCGTCATCTGCATCATCGTCGTCATCATGGGACATATCGCCATCATCATCAGCATCATCACCAGCGAAATGATCAGAATCCTCGTCGTCGTCGGCGTCGTCGACGTCGTCGCCGTCATCGTCATCGTCGTCGGTATCTTCATCGTCGTCGTCGTCGGCATCGTCGTCATCGTCATCTTCATCGTCATCATCAACGTCATCACCATGAGCATCCTAGCGGTCATCGTCGACGTCAACGTCGTCGACGACATCGTCGTCGTCGTCATCGTCATCGTCATCGTCGTCGTCGGTATCGTCATTGCCATCTCCATCGTCATCGTCACAAATATCACTATCATCATCATCCTCATCAGCATCACCATCATCATCATCATCATCATCCTCATCAGCATTAGCATCACCATCATCACTATCACCACCGTCGACGTCGTAGTCGTGGTTGTCATCGGTGCGGTCGTCAGCCTCATAATCAGCATCATCATCATCGGCACCATCACCTGCATCATCATCATCATCATCATCATCATCATCATCACCATCATCATCATCATCATCATCATCGCCATCGTCATCGTCGTCATCGTCATCGCGGTCGTCGTGTTCATTGTCATCGTCGTCGACGTCATCATTTTTAGCGTCGTCGTCATCATCGTGATCGTCATCAACATCAACATCGTCACCATCAGCATCTGCACCACCATCACCAACATCAGCACAATGAGCATCGTCATAATCATCGGCAACATCATCATCGTCTGAGTCGTCATCATCGTCGTCGCCGTCGTTGACGTTGTCGACGTCATCGTTGTCGTCATCGTCATCTAAGTCGTCGTCGTCAACAGCACAACCATCGTCATCGACATCGTCATCAGCATCATCATCATCATCATCATCTACATCATCGTCATCATCATCATAATAGTCGTCAGCCTCATCGTCATCATCAACAGCAGCATTATCATCATCGCCGCGTCATCCTCATGCTCACCATCATCATCATCACCATCATCATAATCAGCATTATCATCATTATCAGCATCAGCCGTATCGTTGACGACGTCATCGTCACCGTCATCATCAACATCGTCATCGTCATCGTCATCCGCATCATTATCGTCACCATCCTTAGCATCATCCTCCTCCCTATCATCATCAGCATCGTAATAACCATCATCAACAGCATCATCACCGACATCGTCGTCGTCCGTACCACCCCAATCAACATCAGGATCATCATCACTATCAACGTCGTCTTCATCATCGTCGTCATCGTCATCGTCGGCATCAAAATCATGATCACCATAATCAGAATCATCGTCGACGTCATCGTTGTCGTCGTCGTCGTCGTGATCGGCATTGTCATCTGCATCATCGTCGTCGTCATCATCATCATCATCATCCTCATCGTCGACGTCATCATCATCCCCAGCATCATCATCATCATCATCTTCGTCGTCGACGTCGTCGTCATCGTCACCGACATCGTCATCGTCATCGTCGTCCTCATCATCGTCATCATCATCATCATCATCATCATCATCATCATCATCATCATCATGCTCATTATCATCCTTAGCGTCAAAATCGTCCTCACCGTCATCGTCATCGTCGAGGTCATTATCGTTGTCATCATCTTCGTCGTCACCATCGTCGTCGTCATCTTCATCGTCAACAGCATCTTCCTCGTCTTCGTCGTCATTATCATCGTAATCATGAGTATCCCCATCATCAGCATCAGAATCGTAATCATCTTCATCGTGGTCGACGTCATCGTCATCGTCGTCATCGTCGTCATCATCTTCGTCATCGTCATCGTCATCGTCGTCATCATCAGCATCAGCATCATCATCATCATCAGCATCATCAGCGTCATCATCATTACCACCACCATCATCATCATCAGCATCATCTTCTGCAACATCATCAGCAGCCGCATCCTCATCCTCATCAGCATCATCATCAACATCATCATCATCATCAGCATCATCATCATCAGCATCATCGTCAGTATCGTCATCATCATCATCAGCATCACCATCCCCAACCACCGACCCTTCCACGTCTTACTCCGCCTCCCCCCTCACCCCTTCCCTCGTCTCGGGGGTGGGACAGAGCTCCTGCTTTCTCAAGACATCCTCTAGTGAAGACGACCTGGGACCAAACCTGGCAGGCGCAGACCGGCAAAAAAAAACAACAGCCGCGACGCCCGCTCGAGGACAGAGAAAACAACAGTCCGCAAATCAACTTGCCAGGGAGAGGTCCCCTGGTTCGACGGCAGGTGGTCTGGGGGCGGGGAGGAGGAGCCCCCCCTGGGGGCCTCGCATGTCATCGCGCTGGCCCCTGCGAGAATCGAAGCTGACCGACGCCGTCTGCCTCGGCGCTTCCCCATCGGTTGCCAGACGCTAGCGTTAAGTCGGGCGTGCCCCACTACAAGCGGATTTTGGGCGAAAAAATAAAAAAAAAATACCCCCGAAATTCTCAAAAATAGTCAAAAATCGTCCCCAGACAACTTTTCCCTGTCGAGGGACAAGCCCGACTTCACGCTAGCGCACACCAGTGCACCTTGAAGGCGGCCTTGCGAGGGCCGAGGCTCCCACGATCTGCGACCGAACCCCGGGCAGCCCCGCGGGGCCCGTGGCCCCAGAGCTCCCGACCCCTTCCCCGGGGGCAGTCCTGCGTCCCAGATCCACGGCTCCCGGGGGGGAAAAACGCCCGGCTTGAAAAGATCATATCGTTGGAGCTCTGGGGGCCTGGGGCTGGGGCTGGGGAGCCCCCCGGGTATCCCCCCGGTCGTCACCGCCGTCGCCGCCGCCGTCGTCGTCGTCGTCGCCCCCCGCGGCACAGGGGGAACTGGCATGGGGAACATCGACCTGGAATCGGCGATACATTCGCCGGCAGATCGGCGGTCGGCCCCCGATAGCTGACCCCAACGTTGCAGGGCGGGGTGGGCCTATCGAGTCCCTATCGGCGATCAGTGGCCGAGTGGGGGTCGATGCGTCCGCCCCTATGCCTACCCAGACCCCCGTCGTGATTTTTTGATGACGTGACCCCCAGGAGCCTGGATCCCGTCCTGGGGACCCGTTTTTCATCCTGAGTGGCTCCTGACAGTCCCGAGGCCCGGCGAGGGCCCCCCGGAGGCCGCACATGGCGACAAACCTCCCGTCGTGACTCTTGGCACGGCGCGAGGAGGTCTGGGTATCCCCCCCCCTCTCGTCACCCCTGCGCCCCCGAGGCCCCGGCCCCCCCCCGGGCGCCTCGGAGGCCATCGCCCGCCCGCAGGACGCCGGCACGGCCCGTCGGGGGGCGCGGCGGCGTGCGCGCCGCCGGGCGCCCTGCGCCGGGGAGGGGACCGCCGCCGGGCGCCCGCGCCCTCCCCGCTGCGAGGAGGCGGAGAGGGGGGGGGGGTGAGCGCGGAGGAGCGAGGGCGAGCGAGGAGGGGCGAGGAGGGGCGAGGAGCGAGGGGGGGGGAGGAGGAGGAGTGGGGAGGAGCCTGGGGGGGGAGGAAGGGGACCGAGTGGGGGGCGAGGAGAAGCGAGGGAAGCGAGGAAGAGGAGCGAGGAGGAGGAGGAGGAGGAGGAGGAGGAGAGGAGGAGGGAGGAGGAGGAGGAGGAGGAGGAGGAGGAGGAGGAGGAGGGAGGAGGAGGAGGAGGAGGAGGGAGGAGGAGGAGGAGGAGGAGGAGGAGGGGGGAGAGAGGAGCGAGGAGCGAGGAGCGGACGATTCTCAAGCTGCTCAGGGCAGGCAAGGACCCCTCCACCAAACTGTGGGCACGGCGGCCCGCCGTTGCCTCCTGAACTGGTATTTCCCTCTATTGCTTGAGCGTTGAACTTCACAGACGGAGACGAAGAGGATCGTCACGATCGTGCATCGGTCGCTCTTTTCTTCTCTCTCACCTCCGTGTGGCGGTGGCCAGGAGGAGCTCACGAGGGCAAATAGCAGCAGCAGCAGCAGCAGCAGAAGAACTGGCCGCAGCTCGAAGGTCGGAGGAGGAACGCCTTCCTTTTTCGCCTTCCACCCGTTCCGTCGTCCCTTTTTGAAGGGGCCCTGGGACACACAAATAAATACACACAAATAGGAGGATTCCCTATATTTTCTATATGTTCTGGGTTTTTGTCTCCCCCCCGACTTCCTACATTTTCCCACATTCTCCTGGGAATCGACGATTCATTGTGTCTGTGATTTTTCCCCTCCTGACTTTTTCCTTCCAGCGAGGACCGCCGAGGGCACGACAAGCAGCAACGGGAGGCGCGTCCGCTGCGCGACGCCGCGTGGGAGTGCGAGCGACGGCGCCTCGAGAGGTGGAGCAACTGCCTCACCGACCACGCGATAAAGAAGAGAGGCGAGGCGAGGCGAGCTGGCGGTGACGGTCCGGCGGGCCCGGCCCTACAGGGACAGCGCGGGGGGGGCGGGACCCTCCGGAGACACGTTGTGAGCAGGATATATATATATATATATATACACACATACATACACATGCATACATACATACATATATACAAGCATACATACATACATACAGACAGGCATACATACATACATACATACATACATACATACATACATGCATGTATGCATGCATGCATGCATGCATGCATGCATACATGCACATACATACATACCATGCATGCATGCATGCATGCATGCATACATACATACATACATACATAATTGCACACATACATACATACATACATACATACATACATACATACATACATACATACATACATACATACATACATACATACATACATGCATGCATGCATACATGCATGCATGCATGCATGCATGCATACATACATACATACATACATACGCATACATACATATATACATACATACATACATATGTATAAATGCATGTATGTAAATGTATACGTATATATATAGTACATACCTATACTGTCGGGCTGTTGAAATCAGGAAACCCGAGTAAGGAACCAAGCCCCTGGGCAGCGAAAATGTTTCCGATAGTTGTTCAAGGGATGAGGATGATTTCCTTCATGCAACTCAAGCTGTAGAGAATCTCCAGAGCTGTTTGGCACAGCAATCGGGATGTCATCATGATACACGCGAGTTACAAGTATCTAGATGCCTGAACTCGGTCTGCTACCAGATCTGGAACCCAAAATCTATTCGGACCCTGCTACGTTTGTTTTAGATGATGTTCCTTAAAGAACTGCAAAGGAGCTACAGAGCTGTTCGGCAGAGCACTTGAAAGAAAATCCAGAGGCGCGCTAGGTCAAGTATCTAGATGCCCGAACTCCGTCTGCTACACGAGATTAAGCTAGAATGACCGGCTACAGCCGAACTGTAGGCTGGCTACGGACCTGAGAAAAAAAACTTGTCGAAGCTAAAGGTAACCAAGTACATTCGCCTACGGTATCGGGGCGTCTGAATCCGGACTGCAACCATAGCTACGACTGGAAAACTATTCGCACTGAAATATTACACCAGAGGTGATGTGCGTTTCTGAATTGAATTCCCTCCTCTCCTCCTCCGCCTTCTCTTTCTCCTCTCCCTTTTCCTCCCCCTCCTCTTCCTCCTTCATCGGTTTCTTCTCCTCTTTCTCCTCCTCCTCCTTCTCTTTTTCCTCATCCTCCCTCTCCTCATCATCATCATCATCATCATCATCATCATCATCATCATCATCATCATCATCATCATCATCATCATCATCATCATCATCATCATCGTCCCCTCCCCATCCTTCCCCTCCTTCTCCTCCTCCTGGTTTCTACTCCTTCTCCTTCTCTTCCTCAGCCTCCTCCACCTCCTTTTCCTCCTCATTCCTTCTTCTCCTCCACGTCCTCCCCATGAAACCGCACTTTCGCGCGCGCGGGATGCGAGATTCCTGCGCCCGCACCCCGTTCATGTACGTGGCAAGGAAGCTCTACGAGTTCCCGGCGGTGACCAAGGTTGACGGTTCACCGCCGGCTCCCAGTTTGACCATTCGTTTCGATCACTGGTATTTTTCGCACCTGCAGTGGGTTATGCCGCGTCTGCCAGTCAAATTCTCTGGCCTGTAGCATGAGTACAGCTATCGAAGCACTTGGAGCAACCGACGCCGTACAAAACCAGAAAACATGTATTTTCTGAGTTGTGAAGCTGATTTCTAAGAACGCTTTCTCGTCATATGAGCACTGATTTGCATGTAAAAAACTCTACGAGGGCCCCGGCGGTAACCTGGTTGACGGTTTGCCGCCGGCCCCCACTAATATCCCCCCAATCGACCTGAGATGGCGATGGCGAGCGGGAGAAGGAGGAGGAGGGAGGAAGAGAAGGAGGTAAAGGATAATGAGCAGAAGAAGCAGATGGAGGAAGAGAGAGAGAGAGAGGAGCAGGAGAGGGAAGAGAAGGAGGACAAGAAGGGAGAGGAGGAGAAGAAGGAAGGGGAAGAGACGGGAGAAGAGGAAACATAAAATATAACCTTTTTAAAAAAGTGCTTCGCAGCTTCATCGTCAGCTTGCGGCTGGAATGAAGTATCAGCATCTCTTAGCCGAAAGTACAAAATATGTATACTCTGCTATATTTTCACGTTGATACTGATGTCCTAACTCAACTCGAGCTGCAGATAAGCCACAGAGCTGTTCGGCACGCACACGGCAGGGGATCATCAGAAGCGCGTGTCCAGTATCTAGATGCCCGCGCTCGGTCTGTTGAACTGGGACCACACAACTATTCGTCCCCTGTACTTTCTCCTCAGATGATGATGATTTATGACTGCAGATATGCAATAAAGCTGTTCTGCACAACAATCGGAAAGCAATCATCAAGAGCGCTAGTCTCAAATGTCTAGATATCTGGGCTCGATCTGCTACCAAACCTGAAAAAAACTATTCTGCGACGTACCCGACCCTTTCTACACAAGTGGCAATTGCATTCAGGACCACTCAATACCGAAGGACATTTCGGCGCCATGGTATAGTGGTGATCTGCGTAGGACGTACCTCCGCTGAGTCCCCCAGACTGGCGCCGGCGGTGAACCGTCAACCTGGTCACCGCCGGGAACCTCGTAGAGCTCCTTGCACGCGTAGGAGTGCTCAGGACCGAAGCAGGGAGCTTCTCGGGGAATTCCTAGAAAAAAATCGAATTCACATTTTTCCGTGTCAATTTCATGTTGGTTGCTCCTAATTTTCCGATAGTAAAACTGACTCTAGAGAGCTGAGCTGCTCAGAGAACAAAGTTTATCTGACACTGCTCGGCGTAAAATTATGCTTTCTCAAAATGAATTGTCAAATATCTTTCAAATTTTAGCAAAACCAACCCAAAGTTGCCACAGTGTCTCTTTTCATCGGGTCGGCCAACTAGCTCCACCCCGCGCCGGAATTCCTCTAGCTCATCGATGTCGAAGGTCTACGAGGTACTAGCTCCACCCCGCGCCGGAATTCCTCTAGCTCATCGATAACGAAGAGCTCTACGAGGTACTCTTAAGCTTCCAGCAACTAGCTAAGGGAAGCTCTACGAGTTACTCTTAAGCTTCCAGCAACTAGCTAAGGGAAGCTCTACGAGTTACTTGCTAAGGGAAGCTCTACGAGTTACTTCGGACAGCAGACCGAGTTCCGAGCTCTGGACTCGACAGGCGGACGCGCCTGATGTCTTCAAATCGATTCCTGTGACTGCCATCACTGTAGCCCCCCTACAGCGCGAGTTCAGTACAGAGACCCGACAGCACCTCTCAAGCTGACTCGAACAATACGAATAGTTGCGCGATTCTAGATCGGGCAGCAGACCGAGTTGAGAGCTCTGGATGCAACAGACCAACGCGCCTGATGATTCTAAATCAGTTTGTGTAAGTATCAGCTCTGTAGCTGGCCTACAGCCCGAGTTCAGTACAGAAAACCGAGAGCGTATTTCAAGATTACTCCAATAAGACGAATAGGTTTGCGGACCTAGCTCGGCTAGCAGACGAGTTCAGACCTCTGGATGCAACAGACGAACGCGCCTGATGATTCTGGATGGAATAGGTGTGCTTACCAGCTCTGTAGCTGCCCTACAGCTCGAGTTAAGTACAAAATACCGACAACACGTATGAAGATGACTCGAAACGGCCGATCCCGCCACAGTGCTTTTCGATAGTAATATTCACCGGATCGAGCTGACATTCAGATGGCGAGTCGCACTAAGATCATAGATCACGGGAAAAAATACTAAGGCTCTAACGAATGTTCAAATTTTGAGAACATAATTTTCAACTGAGCAAAAGTCACCAAAAGTTCCGTCGAGATTTTTCGAGCCAACTAGCCCGCCAGTGCGTCCGAATTACTCTTAAGCTTCCAGCTGCTAGCTTAGGGAAGCTCTACGAGTCAAGCCCATGCGCGCCAGGCGCGCCAGGTGCGCCAGGTGCGCCAGGTGCGCCACTGGGCGCCG